GACGCTCTTTGCCGCCTCCTTCCCTTACTTTTTATTTCTTCTTTCTGGCTCGTTGTTTCAACTATTGTCACAGTGCTGGGAGAAATCACTTTACCATATCCATTTTGGCAGATTATTCAGAGCCACGAAATCTCCGAAAAAGCCGATTTCTGCCCCTAACAATGCTCAAGCATCATTGGATGTGTAGATATTATGTATTGATATTGTCAGCGATCAGAAATAGTAAAGAAGAGAGAGAGAGAGAGAGAGAGAGAGAGAGAGAGAGAGAGAGAGGAGGGAATGAAGATACATCGATCATTTAACTTAAAAAGAATATTAATAGACAAATGTGTTTATACATAATTTCTCCTTGTTTTTAGATTTAATGCTACTAGCCGTGACAGTTTTGTATAAAAAATTGACGTCTATTTCACAGAGTTTGTCTTCCGAGGCGAAGAACAAGGAACCAATGGGCCGATGTATATGTCGACAAATTTATTTGTTCAACATTTATCACTCGCATATTGTAATAATTATTTATCCTTTACATTCTCTATATAATCGATAATATAGCTTCTTTCCTATTTATCATTATTATTATTATTATTATTATCATTATTATTATCATTATTAGTAATTTTACTTTATAGCTTACTTGATAATTTTCAGTGCAACAATATTGTAGCAATTATCAGGTATATTGAATGTTCGTTTTGTTGAATTTTCCGCTGGAATATATTTAAAATTAGCGTAATTTTACTTTATAGCTTACTTGATAATTTTCAGTGCAACAATATTGTAGCAATTATCAGGTATATTGAATGTTCGTTTTGTTGAATTTTCCGCTGGAATATATTTAAAATTAGCGAAAAATTCATAAGTTTGGCTTATTAATGTCACTTTAAACTATTAAGATTCAAAATATATCAGCTCAATTAATTAGAAATATTATTTAAATTTTGTATATTTAACGATTAAATGTCACTCGACATTTTTATGCAAATACATAGAAATATTTCTTTTTTTTTTTTTTTTTTTTTTTTACTAAATTTTACGTAATACATGTTTTTGCATCATAGAGACTTAAAGCCTTTCGAAAACAACTTGTTTTTTTTCAATTCGTCATTAAAAACTTCAATATAATCCGAGTCATACATTATTTGTTCACATACTTTACCGCCAAGCGTCGCTCGATATATTTTTAAATCTCCTCTCAATACTTCCTATCGAGCCTTAAATTTCTATTTACTGCAACATTTTACTTAATGAGTATATTAAACTAAGTAAACCCAGTAATACTACAGTTGTTTCTTGCCAATATTTTATACGATTTATACGATTTATTCTACGACTTTAGAAAATGTCATTTAATTAAATTGCATTTTCATATCGTTGAGAACACAATTATAAAGAATAATTGGCGATGAATAATGATAGCTACGTTATTATATCGAAGACTCTATATTGTTTTACATAATTTATCGTAAGCAACATCTTCAATATTTTTCCCTCGTACATAGAGTGTAATTATGCTTTGGATCCACTCGGGTTCCGCTTCTATTACGTACCCAAATATATTTCCTATACCTCGAACTTACATTTTATAACAATTAAATATTACGTTTACTTGCATAAAATTGAACTTATCAACTAATGGTAAAGTCATATTAACCGATCAAAGATTAATATTTGTGGAGTAAACAAAAATTCACCACCTACTGATATCCCATATTGCTCATCCGAGCGAGAATTCCACGTTTGGATGCTGCAGTGTGTGTGTGTGTTTTTCCTTTTCATTTTCATTTTTTTTTTTGTTGTTGTTGCAAAAAAGGAGTGTCAAGATATAAGAAGACCCTGCCTACTTGAAACGGACTTTATTTATATCCTCTCTGTGAGTGCGCATCTCCGGATAGAAAAATGAGGGAAATATTTTTAGAAGGAAGTAAGTAAACTCCTTCCCTCTCCTTTATATCATTTCCCGGGAAGATCCCGAAATGCTAGTAATTCCCACGATCCGCAGAATGCAACTCTGGGGCGCGTGTGGGCCTGTTGGTGACGGTGCATGTGTGCGAATTGTCGACTCAACGATAATGTCAGGTAATCTCGTCTATTGTTGAGCGTAACGGAAAGACGACGGAATGGCTCCGAGACAACCAACTACGTGCTCATCCCTCCTATCTTTCATCGACTGCAAACCCCATGGATTTTTGCAAAATCAATGGTTTTTTTTTTCTTGGTTTTTTCGTTTTTTGTTTGTTTGATTATTCTTACTGAAATATTTTCGAGGCAATAAAGTATTTATATTTTTATTAGAAATTGCATTTAGCTTTGGACCATCTATGGCTTCAGAGAGAATGAAAGTGCGCTTGTTTAATATTTCAGAGATTTTACATACATTTTTAGAATATGAATGAGCTGTTTTTGCATAAAACGTGACATAATTTTACGTGAAAGTTGTCATTAAATACGCAATCTTACAAAATCATATTAATGACATAGTAAGAATGTACGATTAATTTAAGGAAAAATGAGGATGACAAAGGTTTCAAAGGTTTGTATGAAAATATAATTAAACGATTATTCTAGATAACGAATAATAGAATACTAGTCGTATAATTATTTAATTTCTTATCAAAAAGGTATATATATTATATTATTATATACTAATATAATAATACACTATATAATGCATAATTGTTATATAATAATAATAATAATAATAATAATAATAATAATAATAATAATAATAATAATAATAAGAAAATTTATAATACAATTTTGCAACAAGTTTTATGATTAATAAATCAGGAATATAATTTATGAGACATCCGCTAATATAATCAATAAATCTAAAAATCCGATAACATGTAACATATATATGAATATATTTATAATTGAATAAATAATAATTATTTACAAATAGAAATTATCATCGGAAAATATATGTGAGTGGATGGGGCGATTTTAAGAAAAATTACAATTCAACGAATTCAGTCATATTACTTATGATTTACATTACAAGACAAAATTACATTGCGTCCACACATAATAAATTCGTAGTCATATATATTATAATATTGCCGAGTCAACGCAA